AGTGGGGGTGGGGGTGACGATGCGCTCACCGGCGCCGCGGCAAAGGCAACCGCCCCGCACCTCGCGCCTCGCCTCGCCCTCGCCCTCGCCCTCGCCCTCACCCTCGCCCTCGCCCTCGCCCTCGCCCTCGCCCTCGCCCTCACAGTCGCCCAGCTCTTTATAAAGACGCGCCGCGGGAGGCGGAGGTGAGAAAGGCAGGAAGAGGGCTGTTCGTGTTGTCGTGAGGCTGCGCGATTTGGGGAAAATAAACACACAAGGAAAAGAAAATCGTTTTCAAAATAAAATATTTCACGGAGTACTTTACTAATATATCGACTTAACGCCGCCAAATAGCGGTGTAAAAGTCTACTCTTTAATGGCCGGCGTCCGTTAAGTGTGTATCCGTTAAGTGTGTATCCGTTAAGTGTGTATCCGTTAAGTGTGTATCCGTTAAGTGTGTCGTCCGTTAATAACAAAAGAAAATAAGTTGTTAATAAAAATATCTTGTGGGTACACATATTCCATTGTATGTCTTGTTCTTATGTGTTTTTTGTACAGAAAGTGATGTTGGAAAAGTAACTGAACAATTGACAGGCGATAACAATTGGGTTATTGCCTTAATTAGCGAATTTTTGGAAACAGTTAGTTGTATTGCAGTTTATTAGGCTAATAAAAATAATTGCTGTTATTTTATCAGTTAGCAACCATCGGGTATTTTCATGTCAAAAAGTTTCTTTTTGTACCTAGCATGTTCGTAATAAAAAATTAAATATACCATAGTTCTACTGCTCGTCCATTTTTAGGCATGGTAGATTACAGGAAAAAGTATCGTTTATAATCTAGATTAACTCTTTGCTTCATTACAAAATTATTTTGAATTATCGCCAGGCAGATGAATCGAGTCGTAGCGATTCAAGTAAATTCCTGAAAGAGCGGTTAGATATTCACTTTTTCCCCTCAGTGAATTCGTAAAAGCTTTGAAATCATGGTGGCTTTTTTCAATTCTCCCTGGATATCCTTTTGGAAACCGGATATGAAAATTGCCAATCGATGTGGCGAGAGGGATTAAGTGAGCTATTGATCACCTCTGCAGGTGACGTAACTCACATTAAACGTGTTTTAGTTCTTTCAAATATTTAAAAAAAATTAGAGACACTAATTAGAATTTTGTGGACGCTTCAGCAAAACGAAAGGAATGAAATGGCAGTTCTCTATCACAGAGTCCGACAAGCTTCTAATGTCATCTAATTTCTCTTAATTGGTAGACTGGGAGTGAAGTAATTATGAGCGACGGACAGACAAAGGAACGCTCGTTACTGGATTACCATATGCATATGAGTTTTAACTTTGAAGATAATGAGTTTATCTTTAATGATCTTAGCTGTCCCGGTGACGCCGCGTCGAAGGCTGTGGTGTCGACATGCCCCGACGGCTGAGATCATTCGCAAGACTCTAGCCACGGAAGCCTACGACTTCACTGAGTTTCATCTTGTGTACCGTGTGAGAGGAACGTGTCACCAAATCTCTAGATTTACGTCACGCGCACCTCGCAGACCTCAGACTTGTCTTTCCTCGGTATTATGGTAACAAAAAGTAAACGGAAAACTAGTGTCAGGTAGGGATGACTGTTGCCGTCAGGCTACAATAGATATCTAGTTCACATTTCGCTCATTGTGAGATGAAATGTTGGTCTCAAGTGTTCTGCAATGTCACCTTTTAGCAATGAAAGGATTCGTAAGATGATGGAAAGAATTCTTTCTGGAAAGAGAGCTTTTTTCACACAGAGAATATATTCCAGATTGCTCAGAGAGTGAATGTTCAGAGTATTCCTATGGACATTCAGAAAGAACGAAGTAGAGACGCCACATAATGCGAGAAAGCACATACTTTCTCCCATTATTGGAAATAGTTACCTAATAATGAAATATACAAATGAGTCATACAGATGAGTCATTAGCACCTCCTGTGATTTTTGAACGGTTGAAGTTATTGCAATGCAGTTTTAACGGACGTGCATGAGGGAATGAAGGTAATTAAATAGATCTTCAAACAAGGTTAAGTCAAGTTTTTGAAAATATGAGTATTTTGTGGCTCATTTGGAGACAAAAATAATGGCTGGTCCGAATTTATTGCACTTCGTTGTCGTAATCCCCGATATTTGGATGCTACATAAGTTAGAATTTGTATATTTCATAAATATTTATTTGTTTCTTACAATCGTCGTTTTGTTATACATTAATATTTAGAAGTTATTTAAAATCTACTTGAAATACTGCTAGCTTTCAGGGAATATCATATTACAATGCTACAATATCTCGACAACACAGAATCAGCGTAATTTTGTGAATTACGTCTTATTGTTGGGATATCATTTACCTGAATGAAAAACAGTTATAATTGTCAAACTTGTTTTGATATTTGCTTAATAGTATTTAGTTTTTGTACTAAATGTTGTTGGAATGGTAATGACTAAGATATAACAGTATTGAAATAATTGTATTTGAAATTCGTATTTTCATCAACTTCAGATGTTCAGTCACGCCATTTAGATTACTGTTTTCCTGTACAGGTTTCATACATTCTCCAACTAGGTATTTATTGTGTGTTTTTAGTATAATTTACATCCTGGAATTAATTCTTAATTTTTGAAAAAAATAAATTACAATTAAAAACTCTGGAATATAACAAGCCATTACCCCGAAGGCTGACGTTCGCGAGCGTTTTAGAGGATCGGGACGGGGGCGCGCAAGTCGGCAAACCGTGCGCGTAGCGCCCTTCCTTTGAATCGAGCCACTAGTTCTTAACAAGAGTCTTTGTATTTCCCTCAATGAGAGCAATGGAAAATCCTGACTCCTAGAAAATCTTACCTTTGATTTTAACCAGAATTTCAGTGAAACTTAAATTTGATGGATATAATAGAAAACATAATTTTGCTGGATAGAAATTAGAATGTAGATAAAGTTTTGAAGTTTTGCAACTTTCGAAAAATCGGGGTTTTCAACGAAAACGAGACCTGCACCATTGACATAAATGACCTTCATACTATTGAACAACAACATTTAATAAAAACTGTTGGAGCTATTGTTTTGTTTTGAAGGTGTCTGTAATGAATGAACTGAATGAAGGTGTCATGTAAATGAACAGAAATAGCTGATCTTTCAAACGATTAAACATGCATTAATTTTTATAATTTATTTAAAAAAATGTATTACATAACTAGCATACAAAGTAATACATAACTATTACTAAAGGCGATAAAGGATTTTCAGTTTCAGCACTACTAGTTTTCGTTTAGTAAAGAACGAACATAATCGTGCAACAAGCCAATTATATACAGATGATTCTCGTATAGTGTCTGTCATGATTATAAACCGGGTAACATGCGGAAACTATTTGCAAATTAGTTCAATCCTTTTGTGAGCGTTTAGAACTTTTTAATTTTTAATACTAATTCGCAGAAAACCTATTTTTGTCACGTTTATATCGATCAAAAAAATTAACTTCGTTTCTTGTTATCGAACAAAAAACATTGCGATGGCTATTTTGATCCTAAAAGAAATAGAAAATTAAAATAAAAATGAAACTAACATTCTCATTAAAATACAAACACATAACGTACAGGAAACGTTTTTCCTGTGTACACAAATTGTTAGAAATAATACAATTTAATCATTATAGTTATATTTGTTGTAAAATATGAATGCATTCAATATTTTTCATTTTTACTTAACATACAAATAATAAAATTATTTATTTCATGTTATTCCTCATGATAAATGCATATAGTTAAATTTATACTGAAGTTGTAACTGTTCTAATCAGTAATCTAATATTTAAAAATCAGTGTTTGTTTGTTTGTCCCTATTTTATGCACTGATGTACCAATAATTTGATTGCAAAAACACTTTGTCAATTTATTGCTTGCTTCTGAAAGAAGATTATAGTAACAGTACAACGGGAGAGTGCGCATAAAGACCCAACATGTGGGCGTTGTTAATTATGATTTAAAAGTTTATGTTGACTCATGCGCCGCTGATCAGAAGTTCTACGTATCCCGCTATACCTTCAAATATTAAGCGCGTCTTCACTTCATATTCTGCCATTGCGATTGTGTAATGTCAGTCGGAATTATTACTTGAACGTTATGTCGTACAAATTTATCAAATTTCTTCAAGACAATCCCATAGCGAATGCATTCCCAAAATTGTGGAAGAACGTTTTAACAATAGGATACTTGGAAACCATGTCCAAACCAGGGCATAGAACACGCCCATACTTGCGAGAGAGTCTTTCTTTTATTGAAATTTTTGCAAAACGTAGCATAAATGTGATTTAACAATCAGGTAGTGTGTGAAGTGTAATACATTGCAATTACGAAGCATTACGAGGTTCACTACTATAATATAAAATCGTAGATCCTAATTTTCTCATGTTACAGTCGTGTGCTTTAAAATGACGGTTTTGATTGTTCTATTGAAAGCGTTGAAATTCTAGAAAGATGTGTTTGTGCTTGTGCAGGAGAAGCTGTGCTCCATGGAGAGCGTCACGCTCACCGACCTGAGCTTCACGTCGAGTGGCACCTACCGCTGCGAGGTGTCCACCGAGGCGCCCAACTTCGAGACGGTGTTCAAGAACGCCAACATGACCGTCATGGGTGAGTCCTTGGAGTTCTCGCTTTATCGGCTAGGTCCATCAACGACGTGTTTGTTAATAGAGATGCTACTTCTCCACGCTGGGTTTGAACTTATGCATTGAATTTTACGTTCTGAAACAAAAGTGCAGAGAGTGGTATAGTTTTGTATTGTTGCGCGCGACTGAAATCAAGTATGTCGTACCTATTTAATGGAAGTTTATTAATCATATCGTTCTTCCAGTTTTTAAATTATATTTTTCGTAGAAAATAGCTTGTATTCGAGACGGTGT